CTAAATATTTTCATGGAACATGATCTTTACTTAATATCCGAATGATTTTTGGCATAAAAGAAAAATGGATAATTTTGACCCACACAGTGTATTTTTGTCTATTGCTAAATTTGAGAAATGTGTTTTACTTACATAATTGGTGGCCCACCAAGACTTCAGCTTGAGGTACCACTGAAGTTTTGGTCCAAGGTTCTTCTCAAAATCAAGTGCAAGACTCTGCATTCTTCGGTGTTCCTCGTCGCTCAGCAGTGGTTGAACTGACTCAAGATACTACAGGTCCAACATTTCAAAAGAAAGAAAGAAAGCACAGCTAAAATTCACACCTAAAAGCAAAATCTCACTGCCAGGGCGGTCAAAAAATGTGTATTAACTTAAATCCAAGCATTTTCATAATGAATGCCAGCAACTGGCAAATCAAAACCAAGCTAGTTTTGTTTTTCTAGTACCGTTCTGAACAGCGTGCATGTTTTAGTAAGTTAACTCACTTCATCCACGCTGTGCAACCTACCTTTAAAATCAGTAGATAATCACCTGAGCAAGTTAACTCTGAAAACAAGTGACCAAAATTCACATTGAAAAACTAAGTGGAGTGCAGCTATTCCTGGCTTACCAATCTGACATTTATATAACTGAATAAAACATCTCAAATAAAAACAATATTAAACTGAAGAAGAGTTTTGATCTGGTTGTTGTAAAGATGAATAACTTACTCTTCTCATGGTGTCCTTCACAGATGGCACAGGTAAATGAGGGAGAGAGTTCTGGAAGCTGTATAGCATTGGTGTTTGCATTCCAGAAAAAATGTTCACTAGAATCTGCAACGTCAGAGAACAACAAACAGAAGAGTTCAAAACAACCTAGAATGGATTAGTGAGCATAAACTGTTCCAGAAAACAGTTATCACAAATACACACCAGCCATAGTCGAATTTGCCAGGTCATTTTGCCATGGGGAGCAAACATCCAGCCGTGCCAAGACAGCAGACCCTTCAGGACAGTCCTCATGCTGAATATGATGGCAATCCACAGACCCGTGCCCACCATGACACCCCCAACTAACATCTGCTTTTGTACAGACATGTACCTACTGCAAAAACAGAAGCATAAAGGCTGGAATACACTACACGAATAGGATAAAACACTAGGCATCATACACTTGCCGACTTTGTAAATGGTTCCAGAGAAAAACTGTGCATCATACAGTAAACGACTGAGAATCACACATTTCCAGACTTGCAACTCGTCCAAACACTAAAATTGTCTTAAAATATTAAACGCGTTTGATATACCCCAACTGGATGGAATCGTACGCTGCTTCCAAATATGCCTACTTCCTATATAATATGAATATAAAATAATAATTCCTATATAACAATACTATACACCAGGCAAAAACAGTATATGAAAAGAGTATGTCTGAATTCTATTGAAGCTTGTTTCTGAGACTGAATAAAAAATAAAAAAGGTAACCGTGACGTTTTCGCAACTGCAAGTTTACATCTCACAATTCAGACTTTTTTCACGTTTCTTTTGCGTGTTATAAATTTAGAATTGTGAGATACAGTATATTGTCATTGTGACTTTTTCTCAGAATTTCACGTTTATATCTCACAATTCTGACTTTCTTTCTCACAACTGAGTTTATCTCGCAATTCTGACTTTATAACTCACAACTGTGAGATTATGTCTCAAAATTCTGATTATTTCTCACAACTGAGTTTATATCTCACAATTCTGACTTTATTTCTCACACCTGTGAGTTTATATCTCACAATTGACTATTTCTCACAACTGAGTTTATATCTCAAAATTCTGACTTTATTTCTCACAACTGTGAGTTTACCTCGCACTTCTGACTTTATAACTCACAACTGTGAGATTATGTCTCAAAATTCTGACTATTTCTCACAACTGAGTTTATATCTCACAATTCTGACTTTATAACTCACAACTGTGAGTTTATGTCTTGCAATTCTGACATTATAACTCACAATGATGTAAGCTCACAATTCTGAGAAAAAGGTCAGAAAGTTGTTTTGTTTTTATTAAGTGGCAGAAACGAGCTTCCATAGAATTCATAGTATTGAGTAGGTGAAAGGTACCAGGACGACTGCTGATATACTGAACTGAGTATACAATGTACATGCAATTTTTTTTGTGAAATCTGTTCGACTCCAACTACCCAAAATCTGCAGATTGGCTCTAACTCATCCAAACTGCGGCAAAAATCTGTACAAAAGTAGTATAGTGTATTCAGAGGAGTCTTACTGAGAAAAGCCTCTGATACACACTAATGTAATTTAAAACATCATTCCACATGCACTTTATTGCATTATGAAAAACCATACAGCATAAATAAACCAGGCATACCTGACTGGGACATGTCTGCCAAGTTTGACGAGCAGGCCTAAAGAAGGGTCCACTTTTAAATAATGAGCTCTTCCCAAGTACCCTGCCAACACCAGCATGAACCCTGGTGCACTCCCTGGGTAAACACCATTCAAAATCCCATTCTGTGGGCACAATGAAAAATCATATTAATTCTACAATTTATCTTGAAAAGGTAGGTAACACTTCCACAGAAAATGTAAGAAACAAAATCCTAGTACCTTAAAGCGAATGAATTTCTTCTTCCACGAGTGAAGTCCGGAGAGGTAGACCTGCCGAAGGGCCTCATGACTGAGCTGAAGGTCAATGCCATCAGGGCCGACAGTAAACTGAAAGGCCACAGCCTGATGAGCTTCTGCCATACTGGATCACCACTAACAATTCAGTGAAAGAACAACATTCTTTAATACAAGACACAAGAGGTGACTAGCTCAAAGTACAAATTACTGTAACATGCTGTCATTTTGCTGTTTACAAATGCTATAACCTGCTTTTTAGCTGTTAATAAATGACCATCCAATGACTAACCACCCCTTAATTACTTGCTTGCCTTTATTTGACAAGCAAGCACAATACTCTAAGTTTCGGAATTATAGTAAAGTCATTAATATTTCTAAACCGAAAATGGCTGAAGAGTTCACATCATTGGCTGACCCATTCAAATTCATTTTCAAATCACACCGGCTTAAATTACATATTAAGAAGACTATTTCGATTCTACAGAGCTTTTAAAAACAACTAACTATTTATCTAAAAAGTTGCATATGTAATTGCACATAGCGATGCATTCAGACCCGATGATGATGCGGCCGCCTTTTCCTCTATATATCTATCTATCAAACACAACTAAATCACGTGATTTAATACAGGCGACGAAACATTAATCGTAACGTTAAATGACTCGCAAACACCTTTGAATCTGGCTCTGCTGAATACAAAGATTTGAAGATCTAGATTTGTTATCTACATGTGGGTGTTTACTTAGTGAACTATGGCTAACCCGGTGGACTGTTGTTTACGTTATTTATGTATTTATTATTTTTTGCCATATGCCAGACTTACCGTCTTTTGATTATTTATTCTCCTGGTCAGACCTATGAACTTGATCAAATTAACTGTACAATCGGACACGCATTCGATTAAATGGCACGATGATTCCAGGTCAGGATAGCAACGTTTATCTTGCTAACGTTAGATTTTTCTACGGTGGCCGAGAAGTGCAAAGCAAATCACAATTCTGAAAACAAAATAACAAATTACAAACGCAAATGCAAGTCTAAAAAACTAAATAACAATTCAGAAAGCACAACAACAATTCAGAAAACATTATAATCCCAAACCAATGGTGCTGTCTCAAACTATACCTACCTCTTTCGGTTTGTCTGATTTGTCGTTGTGTTTTCTGACTTATTATTTTGTTTTCGAATTTGTCATTGTGTTTTCTGACTTGTTATAATGTTTTCTGAATTGTTGTTGTGCTTTCTGAATTGTTATTTAGTTTTTTAGACTTGCATTTGCGTTTGTAATTTGTTATTTTGTTTTCAGAATTGTGATTTGCTTTGCACTTCTCGATCACCGTATTTTCCCCCGTCTGTTTCTTTAACAACAGAGCACTAGACAATATAGCCCGTCCACTCTCCAATAAGCATATGGCTAAACCGCTGTACTTACAAAATGGTATACATTTTTGAAATTGCGTGCAAACAGGTTTATTTAAATATAAAATTAATATCAGATACCTTGGATATTTATTATTAGAGATTAGGGTTTGACCTTCATCATCTAAGAAGATCTGTTGAGAAATCGGAGCACATAAAAGGATCACGTGCTTCACCGCGTGCCCAACACGGAAGTGAAGGCTGAGTGGACTTACTGCCTGCTGTATACATTTCTTTACGAAGAGAAAATAGGCAGGACCACAAAAGTAAAGCATGTTCACAACATCCCCATAGGGTGTTTACTGATGACTTTCAATAGGGGATAATAGGATTACTGAATTCGCAGTTTTTTAATGTAATTTAAATTGATTACCCAAAAAAGAAGACGCATAGTGCAGTGCAGATACTTTTCAGTTCAACGCAACATCTGAAAAACACGTCTACACACACAATACTGTTAGTTTGACCATTTTATAATACAACGCAGGTTGTCAATAGTACCGAGTCGTTACGTTAATAGTGTGACACTACAACAGATCTTGAAATAGCCGTGCACGTGAACAGTGCGCGCGCCCTGTGTGCTGCTCCACGTTTGAGGATGACGTCAGGAGACCCAGCGGTAAGAAAACGCTTCGGGACTTTACAAACAAACAGACAGTAGGGTACCAATATGAAGACTCGGGGGCTCACTCGGTCCTGTAGAATAGTTTTTGTCAGTTTGGTCATTTGCAGCATTTGTACTGTGAATGGTGAGTAACATCTTAAATTCTAAGTACTTTTTCCTCCTAATGCTCTTTTTCCAGTTGAACCTTCTTAAAAGTATTGAGTGTCACAGCTTCATTAAAATAGTTCGAGCTTTTGGCTTTTTTACTTTTGACAATAGTATGGGCATCTTTTTATCTGTTATATATAATGCAGAAAACAAAAGGAAATGATACTGCAAGTATTACAATATTTAAATAGTGAATGTTTCTAATTGTGGGAAGGAGGTTATTTGTGGTTAATGAACATTTCACACATTTGTACTTCATGCACTGTGTCTTTTCCCCTCTGTCTTGTTTAGACCACCTTTTACAAAAGGCATTTGTATTGTTAAATTAACATACTGGTAGTATTTTTTTAATTTTGTTATAAGAACGTCTTTTAAAACAAGAAAAGAAAACAAAAACACTTATGTAGTATGATTTCTCTTTATTTGTCTTGTTCATTGTATCTTATTTATTCTATCCAAATAATTATATCATCCTGTTAAATGGAATGCAGATGGATTTAATATAGGGTGGATCTCAATAAGTGTTAACCGTCCGAATGAGATGTCCAGTCCATTGTGAGGGCAGAACAAATCCAATCCACTGCAGGGCGGTAGAAAGAGATTTGCACTCGACTGGATAGTATGATTCACAACTACAAAAGTCTGGAAAGTAAATTTGTTGTATAGGAAATTACCTTTAATTTCTTGCTCAAGCATAGTCAAAGAACCCCGTCTTGACCTCTACATCTAATCTTAATGAGCTCAGAGGGTAAACATGGCACAAATCTCCCAGCTTTTCAGGCAGCATGTTGTGTAACGTTTCACTCATCTTAGAAACGTGTGCCTAAGAGCATTTTATGTTCTTACATTCTGTTCATGCCTTTTCTATCATGTTGGTCAGCCAGAATGAAGCGCAATGAATGCTGATGCTTTCCAAACAAAACATGAGCAGCATTTAATTAGGTGGCTGTTTTGTGTTATTATTTGCCATTTATCTGATTGCTTTGGATATGTTTTGTGCTGCACTCATACACATACTGATAACACAATATAAGCTCTTTTTCATGTTCACTTATCTAGAAATATAATAGAACCTTTCCTACCCTTAAAAAGTATACATCTGCTTTTGAAAGTTAACCATGTGCATTGGCTATGCTGCTCACATCTCTTATCTTTTGTACTCTCCTGATCCTGTTGAGAAGTGTGAAAAGCATTTTTTTCCCCTCTTTACTCCTTTGTATCTCTCGAAGCTTAATATGCAGGACCACTCCGTCTGTTGCCGAATTATAAAATAAGATCTAATTCCAGTCTAATCTTTCTAATTCCATTCACTCCTGCTTATGTGTGTCTCTATAGGAGATTACTGCAAGGTGAACCTGTGTCATAATGGAGGGACGTGTGTGACTGGCATTGGAGAAGATCCCTTCTTCTGCATCTGTGCCGAAGGATTTGCTGGAGATACGTGCAATGCCACTGAGAATGGTCAGAAATGTTGTTTGTCTGAATTTTCCTGGTTTAATGCTCATTTGAATTTCAGATTAGGTTTATATGGATCACCCTGTTCCCTGTGGAAAGCCTTACTGCTCAGAGGTTGCTCTTTCATAGCTTACTTAATGAGGTTCTCAGTTGTTCAACTTTGTCTCCGGCATAGAAAATGCTTTAAATTTGTGATTTGTGTTCTGATTTTCGATTGCAGATTTTGGTGTTTTGGCAACACAGTTTTAAACCTTGTTAAGATTTTTTTCTGAAACAAGGAGACACATCATATTGCTCCTTTCTTTAGAAGAAAAATATGAGACATGGGAATCTCATTGCTGTCTAGGAAGAACAATTCAAATTCTCAAATAGGCTCAGTTCCAGAATCAAATCACTGAGGGTGCTTCTGAAATTAGTGAGGGTGTTCTAGCCTTAATGCGCATCTATTATGATATCACTATGTCGCTCATTGCAATTATGAGAGTGAATCCTGTATTTATATGTGGATGTCACTCCTGGAATTTTGCAGTGTGTATGTGGCCATTGGTCCTCTTAGCAGCATGAAAAACAAAACTTTAATTAACATTCTGAATGGATTATATATAGTCTAGAAAGTGTGCAAAGAGTACTCCCTTTATAATCACTAAAAAGCTGACACTCATCTTAGTGCACGGTGATCTCACAAAGAGTTCCTTTGTAATTAATGAAGCTCTCTCCACTTATTTACATCAGGTTAACACTGTTATAATGAGATGATTCGTGAGCGTGCATAACTTTTTGAGCAGGATTCTACTTAACAACTTATATGTCAGATATGTCTGTGGATTAGCAATATTACTCATCACTGCAAAAACACGTAAATAGAAACCTTTTAAGCAAACACAAATATGCACTGTTTTGCCAATACGAGGGTGATCTTGCTTTTGTTTGACTCTGCTTAGCACTTTCTAGCACCTATGGAACCAATCTTGATCTAGAGGTATTTTTTTTCTTTCCTGTGTGTTTGTCCATTTGTGATACTTGCATCAGAACTTTTAACTGTTTTTCACTGCAGGTCCTTGTAATCCAAACCCATGTAAAAACGATGGCACATGTGAGGTGATCTCTAACTCCAGAAGAGGAGACGTTTTTAATGAGTATGTGTGCAAATGCCAACCTGGGTTCGAAGGTGCACACTGCCATATCAGTAAGTTTTGTACCACTTATTTCAGATTTACATCACATCTGTTGCACTAATTAAAACTACATGACGATCACTCCAGTGGGCCAGACAAAGGGTTTAGAGGGACATTTGTATAAAAAGAAAACTTCAGTTTGAAAAAAAACGGAACAAGCATACATTATTCATAAAAAGTAGAAGAACAAATTTCTGTGTAAATACACAATACCAGTTCTTTGTCCCATTTTATTAAAACCCAACAGCTTACACACAAAATGATTGAGACTCATTTGTGCCCAGTTATGAAATACGTGGAGTCCCTATGATGCATTTGGTGGTTAATTAATGTTAAAACTGTTCTCTTATATGACGAATCTTCTTGTGGCTGCAGGCCCACAGAAGAGACACTAGATTTCAGTTAATGCATGCATGCTGTTTCATTGGTTCCACATTGTTTCATTGGTCCCATGCTTACAAATATACTGGATATACAATGGCACTGGTGTAAACACCAGACACACCCAGGATGTTGAGCAGTCAGTGGTGGTTAAAGAGAGCTGTAACCATAGTGAGTTTTAAATAGGCTTTGTTAACATTTTCCAGTCCACACTGGAAAGTTCCTTTCCATGTATGATTTAACTCTCTGCTGCCTGAGGTCCTCTATAGTGGACACATCTATTAAAGCCATTTTAACCGTTCAGATTATTTCAAATGATCCATACTTGTAATTCTATATAAATAGGTGCGTTCATTCCATGTCGGAATTATGTAATTACAAGATTCTGACTTGCGTTAAAACCGACCATGGCAATGTCATGCGGAAATGTTCAAAAATAGCAGCGGCATTAAAATGTAGTTAAGTAGTGATTTCATAATATTTCTGTACATTCTGTTTGCTATAATTGACTGTTGTTAATATTTTAATGGAAGATTTTTCTGAAACTAAACTAAAGGCATACAATACAATTAAATGTAGTTAGCACAGAGTTAAATTAAGCTAAACTCACTATAAGTTGATTAATAAGGTATTTGCATAATGACTGTTACTTGTTGTCACAGTAGTTTACAGTGTTGCCATAGAAATGTATAATTCATAGTCCGAGAATGTGAGGACAGTTCTGAGTAGAATGTCCGGGGTGTCATCTCGTAATTATGGTAATTACGACATGGCGTGAACACAGCAACTGTCCTCTTTATATGGCATTGTGGTTTTTATTTACGACGACGGTAACACTTTATTTCGATAGTCCACTTTAGACATTCTATTAACAGTAAGTAACTTTGTAACTACATGTCAACTAGCAGTTAGTCGAGTATTAGTAGACTGTCTGCTTAACACTTAAGACTATCTTCTAACACTTTCTTTGTCAACTTATTCTACCAACCCTAAACCTACCCTAACAGTCTACTCTGAGAGTTAGTAGACATGTAGTTGCAAATTAATGAGAATTAGTTGACATGTAGTTACAAAGTTACTTATAGTTAATAGAATGTCTAAAGTGGACTATCGAAATAAAGTGTAACCACGACAAATTCAAAACGGCTGATGAAAGTGGTGATTCACCACACATCTCTGAACTCCTCTAATACTAAATTGCAGTGGACCAATGCATAATACATAATTTTGTAAAACTAAAAAGGATATTAGGAATATTGATATTCTTGTTTTGATGGAAAAAGAAACATTAAGAAAAAATAACTTTGGTGTTTAATAATTCATGCGTCAAAGGGGTTAAAATCCAAAGTGAAAAATACAGATTTTACAGATATTAGAATAGCACTGGCACTGAAAGGCCTTCAAATGCAGCCAGGAACATTCCTGACAGACAGCCTCAGTGCAATTAGGCAAGACTTAATCAAGCCAAAGAGGTTTTATACTTAAGAAGAACAGTACGGACCAGCCTTTGGGGATTAAGGAGGTCATAAAACATTTCCATCTAATGTCCTGGCCAAATTTAAACATTAAAGGTTGAAAAGCAACTGACACTAGAACTAAACCTCATTTGGTATTTAACATGTTTGTTTGAATTAATTTTTATTAATTAAATCCCTTTTCTTAAGACTTTTAGTATTTGGTTCAGAATATGCTTCAGTATTATAAAAAGTTCATAACTCACAATAAAAAGTTGAGTTCTCCAGACACCTTCTTCAGCAGCACATCTGACCTAGATTGATTGAATCTATGTGTATGCAGACATTGAGCAGAATGATGTTTTTCATGTTCTTCAATCCTCTTAACAGTTTAGGAGCAAAACAACTTGTTTGGGCATGAATATGGTGTTTTCTTTTCTATTACAGCTGAACAAAAGAATAAGAAGCACAGTGTTGTGTTTCTGCATGTATCAGCTAGGCTGTTAGTTTTGTAATAATTTTCCAAACCAAACATGGTAAAAAGCAGCCCACTGAATAATATATACTGTGTTCAAATGTTTGGGATTTTTTTTTTTTAAAGAAGCCTCCTGATTACCAAGGCTACATTTATTGGTATTAATCAAAAGTACTGTAAAAGCAGTAATATTGTGCAACACTATAGCATTTATTTGAATATGATATTTTATATCATGCAATTTATTCCTGTGATGATAAAGCTGAATTTTCAGCAGCTATTACTCCAGTCTTCAGTTTCACATAATCTTTCAGAAATCATTCAAATATGCTGATTTGCTGCTCAAGAAACATTTCTTATTATGATGTTGAAAACAGTTGTGCTGCTTAATATTTTGTGGAAATTGTGATACTGTACTTTTTTTCCACAATTCTTTGATGAATAGAAAGTTCAAAAGAACAGCAATTATTGTATCTTTACTGTCACTTTTAATAAATTTAATGCATTATTGCGGAATAAATGTATTAATTTCTTCAATAAATACATCAAGTTTTATAACTTCAATAAGCCAGTTTTAATTTTTTGTATGAAAAATTTACTTTAAAGTTAAGAAAATTATAAAAACAAACATCCTGTAAAGTGTTTAATTTCAGTAGACGTGCTGTAGTTGCAGTTTGCAGCAGTTTGCTGGAAATGTAGACCATCCCATCCCACCCTGTGCTCCACACAGAACTCTCTATCCCCTTTGAGGAAAATTAGAGATCCTGCAGCCACCTGTGTGAGCGCACAGACTGAGCATTGTGCCACCCCACACCTCAGTTGCCACACTTATAATTATACATACTTCAGCTGCAGTTACATGACAGCTCCCTTCCTCTGCAGAGAAGCATCCCATTACAACATTTCCAAATTACTGTATACTTACTGTATTATTTTTGGTGTTCTTACACAGATGTGAATGACTGTGCAAACCAGCCTTGTAAGAATGGAGGCCTGTGTCGTGATCTGGATGGGGACTACACCTGCCACTGCCCTTCTCCATACGTTGGGAAGCAATGCCAACTACGTGAGTTTTTATATACAGCCAATGATTTTCTTGGTGGCAGTGTTTAAAGGGGTCATATGATGCAATTTCATTTTTTCCTTTCTCTTTGGAGTGTTACAAGCTCTTGGTGCATAAAGAAGATCTGTAAAGTTGCAAAGACTAAAGTCTCAAATCCAAAGAGATATTCTTTATAAAAGTTAAGAGTCAGCCACACCCCCCTAAAACGGCTCGTTCGAACACGCCCCCACATATCTACCTAACTGTGTGGGAAGATTTGCATAACGCCACACAAATGTTCACGCAAAGAAAGAAGGAGTAACTTTTATTCTCGCTGTAATATTGAAAAGTGAAAAGTGAAAAAGTGAAAAGTGACGTGACATGTGGCCAAGTATGGTGACCCATACTC